GCTGTCAAACTGGGAGGACATATCTTGTGGAGTCCCATAGGGATCAGTCCTGGGTTAATTGGGATTAATCAGCATTTCCATTAACAAGTTAGATAATGGAGTAGAGAGTATACTTATAAAAAGTGCAGATGACAACATGCAGGGTGGAGTTGCAAACACTTTAAGGGATAAAATGGTCTTGACAAATTAGAGAATTGGTCTGAAATCAGCAAGATAAAATTCAATAAAGATAAGTGCAAAGTATTACACTTGGGAAGGAAAAACCATGTGCCCAGTTACAAAATGGAGAATAACTGGATAGGTGGTGGCACTTCTAAAAAGGCTCTTGGGGGTTATAATGGTTCATAGATAGACTATGAGTCAACAACATGATGCAGTGCCAGACTGGGATAATGTCATTCTGGGCCATATTTACCAGTTTGTCTTATGTTAAGAAATGGGCGGTGACTGTATCCTCATCTGTTCAGCAACTGGTGAGGCCTCAGCTGCAGCACTGTGTCCAGTTCTGGGCACCACAATTTAGGAAAGAGAAGGGCAAATTGGAGAGTGTCCGGAGAAGAGAGACAAAAATGAGAAAAGGGTTAGAAAACCTGACCGATGAGGAAAGGGTTAAAAAAATGGGTGTATTTAGTCCTGAGAAAAGAAGACAGAGATGGGAACTGATACACCTGCAATATATTAAGGGCTGTTATAAAGAGGTGAGTGATGAACTGGTCTCCATGTCTGCCAATAGTAGGCAAGAAGTAATTGGTTTACTTGGCAGCAGGGCTGATGTACATTAACAATAGGAAAAACTTTCAGGAAAAGGCTTCCAAAGGAGGTAGTGGAAACCCTATCAATAAAGGTTTTTAAGACCAGGATAGACAAGCACCTGTCAGGGATGATCTAGATTTACTTGATGCAGCCTCAGAGTAAGGGACTGGTCTAGAGGGTCCCTTCCAGCCCCACATTTCTATGATTCAGTGAATATTGGGATGCAAGGCAAGTCAGTTCCTGGATCCCATACTGAATGCTGTATGAACTTCCCCCAGCTCTAAGGCACTTTCACCTTCTCTCCTAGCATCCCTGATGTCTATACCAGTGGCCCATCTCCCTACCATTGCATTTCAGGGCTCAGCAGCCAGTGTGTATGACCTTCTTCTCTGCAAGCCGCTGAGCCAGGGCTGGCAGTGTTAGAGATCAGACTTGCATGGGAGGCAAAGAGACCTAAAACTGGTGTGTGCATTTGGGAAGGGAGCTATGGAGATGGCGGAGGAAAGAGGATTATGTATGTGCTGCAGCCAGGGCTGTGACAGAGGGAGATTCCCTGAGTTCTTGGGCGAGGGGGGGAATGCAGAGATTGTGCAGCTAACACAGAATTTTTTAGGCTGTTCTCAGCACAGAGCTCCCAGTCAGCACCAAGCAGCGTGCCTACCCCACCACACAGCGCTGGAGCTCAAGTAGAAATGTCACCAGCATCTCTCTCGGGCCATGGCTTGGGGTGGGCACCCGAGTCCTTGCTAATAAAGCTCAACCCAACCTGCAGCTTCCCCTGTGATCCAGGCCTCTAGGCCTTCCCTGGCAATTGTGGCTAATTCAGGGATCACCAATGATAGGAACAACTCCAGCCGGGGAGGGAATGAGTCTTCACTTGTCCCCTAAGCAAGGACTTGAGTGAAAGTCTCCCGGGTGAAAGCCAAGTGTATTAAGCCCTTGTGTCCCAGATGCTTACCCCCCACAAGACAGACTCCGCCAGCTCAGAGCGCCAGATGGCCAGTGAGTAACGTGTTGTTGCTGTTCTCCAGGTCCCTATCGTATAGCCCCTTGCCTGTGAAGAAGAAGAAGAAGAAAAGCTCAAAGAAACGAAAAAGAAACAGGTATTCCCCCTAACCTATCAGCCCCGCACATGCCCCTCCCATGCACTGAACACCAGGCCGTGGAATACAGCCGGGTGGTATTAGTTAGGAGGTGGCTTAGAGGTGAAGAGCATCTAGCTGCTCGACCCGGCTGCATGGGCCTCATTCCCCCTGCCCGTGCGAGGCCTGTGCGTTCTGAACGACTCCTGAACCCTGCGCTAAAGTGGGACTTCAGGGGTGCCTGGGAGTCCCTGAGATGGGTCCCTGATTGTCTCAGGGAGCTCTCCCTGAGACCTTTATCGCCTCACCTGCTGTCAGGAAGCGATCATCCGCAGGGGCCCAGCAGGAAGCCCTTTGAAAGGGTTGTGCGTAGACTCTGCATGGGAGTGCAAGGCCGGAAAGCTGCCAGCTCCCAGTCCCTCCTCTTGCAGAGCTCCCAGGAGTGGGCGTAATGGAAGTGTTTTCTCCGGAGGCTCTGGTGTTAACGTGATGGAGGCGCTGAATTGCACGCCAAACGATGGCGTGTGTCTGTCCGCGGACTCCCACAGACTGCGCCGCCTCAGGTTTCTGTCACTGCCATTGGCTCTTCAGTTTGTTCTCCCTTTTTAAATGGAAACTTACAATTCAGGAGAATTCTGGGATCAAGCAGCTACAGCACGGCCTATACATGCCAGCACAGCCTGACTACTCATACAGGGTTCCTCCAACTGTTCGCAAACAGTCCCTCAGCCTGACTGTTCACGTAGGATCCCTTGGCCCAACTGTTTATGTAGAGTCCCTCGGCCCGACTGTTTACGTAGGGTCCTTAGGCTCGACTGTTCACGTAGGGTCCTTCAGCCTGACTGTTTACGTAGGATCCCTCGGCACGACTGTTCATGTAGGGTCCCTCAGCCTGACTGTTCACGTAGGGTCCTTAGGCTCGACTGTTCACGTAGGGTCCTTCAGCCTGACTGTTTACGTAGGATCCCTCGGCACGACTGTTCATGTAGGGTCCCTCAGCCTGACTGTTCACGTAGGGTCCTTAGGCTCGACTGTTCATGTAGGGTTCATGTAGGGTCCCTCGGCCCGACTGTTCACGTAGGGTCCCTCGGCCTGACTGTTCACGTAGGGTCCCTCGGCCCGACTGTTCACGTAGGGTCCCTCGGCCCGACTGTTCACGTAGGGTCCCTCGGCCCGACTGTTCACGTAGGGTCCCTCGGCCTGACTGTTCATGTAGGGTCCCTCGGCCCGACTGTTCATGTAGGGTCCCTCGGCCTACTGTTCACGTAGGCGTAGGGTCCTTCAGCCTGACTGTTTACGTAGGATCCCTCGGCACGACTGTTCATGTAGGGTCCCTCAGCCTGACTGTTCACGTAGGGTCCTTAGGCTCGACTGTTCATGTAGGGTTCATGTAGGGTCCCTCGGCCCGACTGTTCACGTAGGGTCCCTCGGCCTGACTTGCTCGCACAGAGTCTCTTGGACCAACCCACTCACAAATGGTTTCTCAGCCCAATTGCTTGCAGACGGTCCCTCAGCCTGATTGCTCATGTAGGGTCCCTCGACCCAACGCACTCATGCAGGGTCTCTTGGCCCAACCTGCTCGCAAACGGTCCGTCCCCTGATCCACTTGTATAGGATCCCCCAACTCACTCACCAACAGTTCCTCGGCCTTACCCACTTGCATAGGGTCTCTTGGCCTGACTGCTCATGTAGTGTACCTTGGCCCAAGGTACTGACTTCCCTTGTAGGTTCCCAAAGCCAGACCACTGAAATGCCCAAATGTCACCCCATACAACACAAGCAGGTGCAAATGCTCATGAGCAATGTTCTGATGTCCTGGGGGCGAGGACTCTAGAAATAGCATGGAAAGGTAGGACCAAATTCATAGGCAGGGTTAATAGGGATCCTTCTGAGCCTAAACCATTGAGGTTCCTCTGTGACACTAGCCGTGTCTGTCACCCCTTGTCCATCCTGCTTTATTACTAGCTCAATGAACCTCAAAAGAACCAGTCGCAGATTCACACAGAAATCCCATATGCCAAACTCCACTCTCCCTCACTCAGCCAGAACATTTCAAACATCTCAGGTGCACATCTGGATCTGAACTTCCCCGCTTACACATCTCTCTCCAACAGGCCAACAGCAGAAGGTTCCCCCCAGGTCTGAATGCCTTCCAAACTGGAGGCCTGCTCAGGGCTGGACCCACCTCCAGATGTGCAGGCTTGGGCCATAGGTGCTGGAACTAGGGGTGCCAGGCACCCCTGGGCTTGTAGCGGTTTCCGTCATAGACAGAGTGTACAGCTTGGTACAGTGGCTGTCAGCACCTCCACTGTATAAATTGTTCCAGCCCCCCTGGATCAAGACCCTCTCCAATGTAAAGAACATGATTAAAATTTTAAATATCAAACATTCCAGTTTCTTCTTCCAAGCATTAAATCAATATTTGCTTAGAACAACGGGTGCCATCTTCCTCAGAAAGTTCATGTATTTATAATTTATTGAACCAACAAGCCAGGACAGTCTTACAAAAGGTGCAAAGGAAAGGTGAAAACATAGCCTGAAACTCAAAGAGAGAGTGAGGCAGAATGTAGCAAAGAGGGAAAAATCTAACACACTTCACTCCAAAGGGGCAAGTCATATTCCTCCCTAGATTGTACCCAGCTTCTGCAATGATGGGCCCATTTGATTCTCTGCTGCTGTGCACCTGGTGTAGCCATGTACGCCTGTGCAGAGTGAGGGCAATCCATCCCCAGTTCAGAAGAGCAGGTTTTAGCACCCACTTAGCACAGTGTTACAGGCCTTTTCAGAGGTTCAAAGATGCCTTTGGCCATTTCCAGCTTTTGAAGCTCCTTGCTATAATAATAATAATTAATAATAAAATGACAATGCATGAAAACAAAATAAGGCACCAAAAAAAGAAGAGTGAGACATAATTTGAATATTTTTTATTTAACAAATGGTTTTCTAGATTTTTTTCTGTGCAAATGCACAAATTATTCAGGAAAACCTAGCTTTCATGCAGTGTTATTAAGCATGGCGAGCCCATCCACATGTCCCATAGTTGAATGGTGATAGTTCTTTGCCTACTTCAGCACGTTATCAAATTCCAACAATTAGTGTCTAACTTTGAGGCCCTCCCCTTTGAGCTTGAGGCCCAGGCCAAATGGTGCTCTCGCACACAGGGTCAGATTGTCACGTGTTGAGCACCCCACAAATGGGGGCCAGATTTTCAAAGCACTTATAAGGCAACGTCTACACTGCAGCAATTTTTTGGAAGAAGAAATGCAAATCTTGGCATATCTTGCGCTCTCATTTGCATATCCTTGTCCGATCCTTTTTGCAGAAGAGGTTTTTGCAATAAAAAGACCTGTGTAGATGGGGCCATTTGTTGGGGTGGAAGAACCCATTTTGCGCAAGATCCCTTAGACCCCCCAAAAATGTGGTTTACAGTGCCTGCTGCAACACTTACTGGCATGGCCAAGAGCTCTGCTCTGTTCCTGGTGGGCTAAATTGTCTTGGGAAGGCTGGCCTATCGAGTATGATTTGAAGCCTGGGGAGATAGAGCCACACTAGCATATGGAGAATAGTGTGTAGAAGATAGCTGCAGCAGCATGAGCAGTAGGAGGGACTAGCTGTACACAGGACAGCAGCTATCTCCTCCCATCACTCCTGTCTCCACAGCTAGTTGGTCAGTCAGAGCTAGTGCAAGTGTGTCTCCACCAGCTCGTGACGTAGACATACCAAGAAGTGGCTGAATGGCAGTGGAGGTCTACTGGAAGGTCCTTGCTGGGTGGATTTTTCTCTTAGCCATTTTGACACCCTTCTCCTGTTTCAGTGAGGGAGCAAGTCTGAGATGTGTCTGTCCCTGAACAAATGCAGCAGTGTGCATTGATTCCACCATGACATATAGATTCAATTTACCTCTTTGGTTCTTGCAGGTTATCTTCAAAGAAGAGAAGACACAGGTAAGGGCTCTGAAAACTTTGCCACCAACCTCAGCAACATGGGTTACTGCTGCCTGCATGGGATGATGGGGAAACACCACCAGACTCTAGGGAAGTGCAGATTTGGTAGCCCTGGTGCAGGAAGGTATATGTTTCACCCAGCAGAGCTCATTAAATGCCCTAGGCTCCCCTCTCCATTCCCAGAGCATCTGAAGTGAACACTACATTGGGCTGTCTCAGTCTCTCCCACTGGAATGGAATGCAACAATATGGCTGTGTCTAGACTACTTCAACCAACATGAAACACAAGCACCACTCAAGTCAAGCAACACGTAGGATATGTCTAGACTACACCTCTCTGTCGACAGAGAGATGTACATAAGGCATATCAAATTTGCTAATAAAGCGGGGATTTAAATATCCCGTACTTTATTAGCATAAACATGGCTGCCGCTTTTTTTTTAAATAGAGCATTTTCGGAAAAAAACTCCTCGGAAGTCTAGACGCAAATCTTTAGAAAAATAAACCCTTTTTCGAACAGGATCTTTTGAAAAAGGGTTTATTTTTCTAAAGATTTGCGTCTAGACTTCCGAGGAGTTTTTTTCCGAAAATGCTCTATTTAAAAAAAAAGCGGCAGCCATGTTTATGCTAATGAAGCATGGGGTATTTAAATCCCCGCTTCATTAGCAATTTCAATGTGCCTAATCTATATCTCTCTGTTGACAGAGAGGTGTGGTCTAGATGTACCCTATGTGTTGCGTGACTCAAGTGGTGCTTGGGTTTCATGTTGGTCCCTCTACACACAGAGGAATTCTGCCCTGATGAAGCTTCTAATGGCATATACAAGCACTAAAGCCGGGCCCTGGAGTGCACATTTACATCTAGGTTAATCCCTATTTGGAGAGGTGAACATTTAAAGGACAAGTACTTGGACTGAGAGGGACCAGTACAGGAGTCACACATTCACTGAGTTATTTTTGTCTTCCTGTGCGCAAGGGCATTGGGAAGATATTCTGCAGTGGTGTCATGCTGTGCCATTACAGCAAAGGGCCTGACAGCTTTCCCTTTATGAATCCTGGCTTTGAGGCATTCCTCTAGCTCTTGGGTTTTAATTTGCCGCTTGGGGACTGCAGCACTGTCAAAACCAGACATCATTTGCAACCTTGTTAGCTGTGGAGGTCCAGTGTCAGTGAGCGGAAGTCACCCTCCCTCCTACTTTTGCTGCTGGTTTAAAGTTCTTACTCCGAATTGCTCAATGAGCTTAAAGGCTGAATGGGAACTCCATCCAGACTTAGCAGCTCAACGGTCAAATGAGCAAACTAGGATCCGAGGTCAGTTTCCTACTCTGCTGGGGTTTGATCCTGGCTGTAATTAAAGGTTCCAGAATATGGAATATGGCTTTTAATGAAAAACGTGTTCCCAAGACAGCTCTGTGGGTGTGTGTGTATGTGTGTGTGTAATTGGGGAGAGGTTGGGGAGGGGTGTGTGTGTGTGTGTGTGTGTAATTGGGGAGAGGTTGGGGAGAGGTGTGTGTGTGTGTGTGCGTGTGTGTGTGTGTGTAATTGGGGAGAGGTTGGGGAGAGGTGTGTGTGTGTGTGTGCGTGTGTGTGTGTGTGTAATTGGGGAGAGGTTGGGGAGAGGTGTGTAACCCGGGCCTGGGCAAAATATGGCCCGCGGGCTGGATCTGGCCTGCCAAGTCACCAGATCCAGAGCCCCAGGCAGGTTCCCTGCTTGCCTCACCCCATCCTCCTGCCCCTGAGAAAAGCAGCTGCTGGGCCA